AACCTTGACGTTTCCAAAATAATTTTTTTGACTGCTGAACAAGCCAAAAATTAGCCGAATAAAAGTTATTGAGGTGACGGTCTCTATCGAGTGCGTCCGCCTATTCTCAGCTGCAACTGGTTGGCTAACTGCTCGCGCCACGCCCACTTAGCAACATCCTCTGAAAAGCGTAGAAATTAATTGCCCTCAACAGCTTATTATGTGTCTCACAATGAAACAAAGTGAAAATAATTCTGACGTATCTAATTTATATTGGGTGGTCATTTTGCCTGTAGTTTGCTGGGCAGAATTTGAGCAGAGCACGCGCAAAATCCTGGCAGATCAACTGATCAGAAAATAATGTCAGAGCCCATTTTTTTAAAAATCCTTCTTTTTGTAGGACGTGAGCAAAGCGAGAAAGAAAGAAATCCTGGCAGATTCTCTGCGGAGAATAACGTCAGCGCTTATTTTTTTCATTCCTGCTTTTTGTAGTACGTGAGCAAAACGAGAACGTAAGAATTTTTTGCGTCAAAAGCAATTTTTTAAGAATTTTTTCAGGCTAAGAAGCAAATTTTTGGAATGAAACAAAATACAAAGAAAAATCAAGATTCATCAACTTACAGCCTTTGAACCCAAGGATTTGTGGATGGATTTAGCCCTTATGATTTTGAAAAAAAAAACTTCTTGTTAGAGGGGGGGGGGAGGGCGTAGGCGTAAGTCAGCTGCTGCGAACGCACAATCAGATTCTTTTACTCCTGCTTTGTTTGGTCCTAATCAACTTGCACATTCTTCTTTTCAAAGTTGTTTTCTGCGACGCAGCAAATCCTGTCGTCACCCGCACAAACATCAAGCTTAAGCGCGTGGCCACAGCTATCCATCATCTTTTTGGCGAACTTTGTCGTTTTCAAACTGACAAGTCTGTCTTAGAGTTGAGTCTGAGTTTTTTGACAACTTCAATCATCTTTTGTTCCAAGGTTCCCTTGAAAAGCTGCAGGGAACCTTCTCTAATATTCTCTTCCTTTTTTCTTCTTTAGGGGAATCATTTATAGCTTCTGGAGAAATTCCCACCATCTTCAACTTTCCGCCTGAGGGCACGAAAAGAAAAATGTTACGAACTTTCGCATTCGTGTTGTGCTATACCAAAACAAAAGTCCTAAGGGGGGGGGGGGGGAGGTTTATCTCATCAGAGCAAACATGACCCACGTTTCTGATTGCTTCCAAATTGAATTTTTTTGCCCCTCTCTCCTTCCCCCAAACAAACAAATCATCCCTAGCCTTTTCGTCCAGTGAACCTTCCAAGACTTCCCGTAGGGTTGTACAATGTTGTTTAGTAACATCAGAATCATTTTCTATTGATATCATGATGTTAAAACGGTGAATTTTGCGTAAGAATCGAGAATTTAGTCTCAATGAAATTTAGAGCAAAAGTTCTAATTTTCATTATGTTTTTGTTATTTCCCAGTGATTGTTATTTTTTGAGATTTGGAAACTAACTTTTTTTCGAACGAATAAAATTAATGCTGAAAGTAATTCAGCTCAAAAATCTGCTTATTTCGCATGTTTCAAGATTTACAAGATTCATAACAAAAATTGTTATTTTTTTAAGATTTGGAAAGTGGAAATTAGTTCTAAAATTGATCCAACTCAAGAGTTTATTTTGCATGTTTCATACAAGTATGATGTGGAAAGGAAACCTAGCGTCAAATTGTTTAATTTGTGTGGAAAATTGCCTTTTGCATTATTTTTACTGTTGAATTTCGAAGCGGTAAAACTAACATTGAAATCAAATTCATTCAAAAATTCCTGTTTCTTGCATGTTTTTTCTGCAGATAACATGTTGCGGAAGCGATAACAATGTCAGACAAGTCAAGTACAAAGTTTTTTCCTCTACGTTTTTTATAGGTATGATCGTCTCCACGATTTGTGTAGAGGTGTATTGCAGACTTTTCCTGATAATGCAGGTAAACTTATTAAACCTCCACGTCATAGCATTGTTTTTCGTACTCTCTCGTTATCAAAAACCGCCACGCTTTGAGTTGGCAAAACCCCGCCTCTACACGAATCGTGGAGTCGATGATAGAAAGTTTTTGTAAACGGTAAAAATTTTCGCAAAAATATAAATCGATTCAAAAATCTTGCTCCTTCTAAATGGCTTCTTTTCTTTCGAGATACCAGCTGACATGGGTTGCTATGACAAATGGTAAACATTAGGGGGGTCTTGTGATATCCGCTTTGAAGCGTCTCTAGCTTGGCTCTACGGCTTCGCTTCTTTGTTTTCTTCAGCTTTTGATTTGAAATTTTCTCTTTTTCTAGTTCGTAGGGCTACCACTTATGGGCTTACTTTTCGTCTCACTATTGTCGCATTATCTCAACAAAAAAAAAACCAAACGTGGTAAAAAGTCACGTCATTTGCTTCAAAGTACTGAAAAAAAATTAGAAATTAGATATGTAGAAGTAAACGATAGGAGATTCCCTCCTCGCAGGGTTGTCGGATATTTTGAGCTCTTAATTTTTTTTATGAAGTAAGTAATTCAATACCCTAGCGTTTGCTAGAGTTTTTGTTTGAGAAGGAGATGGTAGGGGAAGGAGCGGCATCACAAAAAATGTTTGAAAAAAGAAGCATTGCGTTAGTGACGTTCAAAAACACTTTCTAGAACCTTTTCAAAAAAAACTTTTTTCTTTTTCCTTTTCAAATTTTTCCATTCTTTCAATCCTAAATTCGAAAAAAAGGTGAGTTAAGTTTTGTCATAAATCTAATGCAGCAGTGATTGTATCTTAGAATTCATCTTAGCAAATTTAATTGCTCAAAATTCATTCATTTTTCTCTTTTGTAGATCACTTCCAGACATATCGCATTTCAAGGTATTCTTGATAGATTTTTCGGGTTATTGTCACTGCTCCCTTCTCCCTGAATCGATAGAGTCTATTCATGTAACCAAGGCAGTCCTTTCATGCCGATTTAAATCATTTTTTCCTTCAGATTTAGCAAAATCTCAACAAAACCTGCAAAATCAAACTTGATAGTTATGCAAAGCCTAACCGCTTCAATTTTCCAGGAAATTTTTATCTTGTGATAAATTCTCAGAATTCATTAATTATCTGCTTTTCTAACATGTACTTCCTGCTCTTCAATGTCAGTGTCATACACAATATTTAGACGCATTCTTAATTATATTTCTCACCAGCAAAAAAAAAACAGAAATTGCGCAAACAGAAAATATAAATCGACCTTTAAGGGAGGCTTTGTGGCCTAATTAAGGCCGCTCGCGCCCGCTACGCAGTCGGCGTCTCTCTCGCGCGCGTGCTCTCTGTTCATTCTCTAGCCTTGACTAGGTTATGAAGCCCCGCTTTCCAGTCGCCAATCCAGTTGAATCAAAGCGTAAACTTCCAGGCGACAACTCATTTATCGCTGCTTATTTTCCATTTGAGTCCTTGAGAATAATTCTTGAAGATAGTTTAAAAAAATCGGGAGATAACGTCCTTCCCATTCAAGGCAGGTTTCGTTTACATATATAATTGTCGAGCTATTTGTGCCAGTCATTAATCCTACTTATCCGATACATTCAAAACACGCAAATGTTTCTTTACGTAAGCAGAGATGGCAAACAATTCTTTGAAGGGATCTTTATTTTATTTTTGGTGTAAGGCGTCGGAAGGCGACAATCCAGATTTCGCGCCTTAAATAGGCTTCCCGCGGCGTTTTTAGCGCCAAAAAACCTAGGTTAAAGGTCTCAGCCAGTGCAGGTCTTGACACGATCTTAAGGGCCGGGCATACTTCACGCGATTTCAGTCGCGACGCGATTTGGCAGTATTCCAGCTGTCCGTAACTCACTGTAAGCACAGCTTAAATGTAAAGAAGATAGGGCATTTTATCAATCCACTCAAATTATACACATCAAACATGTGCAATTTGCTAGTGTTGAATCTGAAGACTTCTGGCGAATTGCCAAATCGCTCGCGACTAAAATCGCGTAAAGTATGCCCGGCCCTTAACGTCTCTAGTAGAAGTGGGCGGTGCTTCAAATTGCTTGTCTTATGCACATGTTGCTCCCATCCATGTACCTCCTCCACATTTTACTTTCTTACCGATCTTCTTCACTCGAAAGGAAGTTAACTTTTGATTCAACTGGATTGACGGCTGCAAGGCGTGGTGTGACGTATAAGGCCACTTGCGTCCGCGGCAATCGCCGTCTCTCTCGCGCTCGTGCTCTCTGATCACTCTTTCTCAGACAATCGCATCGGGAAGTTCGCGGGTGCTTGCTCGACCACCAATCATCCATGCCGCGAGCTGCCCGGTATAAACCGAAATTGGACCCGATAAGTGACCGCGGAGCACCCTGTAAGCGCCCGATAGTTGACCCGATTAGCATGCTTGTGAGGCCTAGGAAGAGTGAAAAATCTTTTGGCGTGTCTTTCATGACAACGACTTGAGCACAAATTGAGCAACATGTTAGCTTATCTGTCGACATTATCTAATGTGGTCGATATTACTCATCCGACTGCTGAAATTTATTTCATCAGCATGAAAACTCAAGCTTATCAGATAGGACCAAATCCGAGAAACGATGCCCAGCCTCATAAACACTTAGGGTAGCCCCATCGCTGCGACGTACCTTACGAGGGTTGCGCCTTAATCTACAGCGTGTAAGAAGTGCGGCCTTTGATAAGGCCCGCGGCCCGCCGAGTGAGGTGGTTGGGCCGCGACCTTCCCGGTAATCTCTTCCCGATTTCAACTTTGGCCGCGGCGTTCCCAGTCAAATATACATGGGCCGCGGCGCGTACGGCTGAAATTTTAAGGGCCGCGGTGCGCCATGTAACACGCTTTGAGGCCGCGAACTTTCCGATGCAATTGTCTGAGTTAGCCTTAACTAGGTCACGAAGCCCCGCCTTCCAGCCGCCAAGTCAGTTGAATCAAAGAGTAACTCATTAACCGTTATGCAATATATAGTTGTACTCGTTCGATCGCACCCTCGCCTCGTATTTTATTTGTATTTGATCTATCAAAATTCTCGCAATTCAGCGAGTACAAATCGTTCGAACGAACACACAGTGCTGCCAGAGGGCATAGTGTTACAATCAACGCAGACACGACGTTCTTCCTTTCATTTGAACGGCGACGACGACATCCCAGGTATGTTTTATTGATTGATGACGTCATCAAAATTTTTAATTTCTGATTCTCATCACTATAAGTTTACTATAAGTCTAGGGTTGGTTTTGTTGCATAAATACAGAATAGCTATTGAGTTTCAAAGAAAATCCGCGGAGATATGTGCAATTGCACGCAATATACACATTAAAATCCACATAGACGCATATACTTTCCCAATTTTGCAAATTCTAGTGCCTTTCATTTATTTATACTATTTCTAGGCATCTAGGAAAACGTCTAAAAGTCTGTTTTAAACAATAAGCTCAGTAGATTTGGCGGTTAATGCTGTGTACTTGCGTTAGCTACAACATTTGTGCGTAAACAAAGGCATTCTGCGCTTCAATGTCAATTTTTACACGCATATCGCAAGCAGTTACGCGCCATATACAGTTTGACACTCGTTCCCGCGTAATTCTTGTCGTCACCGTAGGGGCGGCGTTATATCATCGTCAAATCTGCTACATTGTGTGCTAATGGCTCACTAAGAGAGAAGTGACGTAAAGTGTGCATATTGTGTGCAATTGCAATTTGAGTCAAACTGGGACAAAGTGATTTTCTGACTGTACGTATACAAAGAGTTTTCTAGGAATTTTTTGCTCATTTATAGAATTTCTTGCCTTTCGAAAATTTCTTGCTCAAATATAGAATTTTTGGCTTTTTGATTTTAATCATGCAGAAGTCAAAAACATAATATTTTGAATTCAAGAAAGGCACAAATTGTTTTTGTAATGAAAAATTTCCCTTTTTTTGGGACAAATTTCTTGGGGGAATGATCTTCTTGGAACACATGCTCGCTAACTTTCGATTATTTTGCAACTGACAGAAATTCATGGATCTCGCATCCTCTCTTTTTTTCTCAATAATCTACGACGGGCATTGTGCTCATTTTCTTGGAAATTATTCTCACATTCGTTACTTTCAGATTCTTTTTCTGCTAACTAGTTGAATAGCCTGACTCTGCAAACAAATTTTCAGTACTCAGCTATCTCTTTTTCTTCAAATCCCAGATTCAGCTTGCCAATGAATTCTATATAGTTATTGATACAGTGGTAGTGCTAAAAATCCTCTTTTTTCTGTTTGGACCAATTTTGCTTTCTTCTTGACGAACTCATTTCAATGATATATGGTAATGATCATTCACTCACATTCAAACGTCTCTTCACTTTGTTGACGCATAAATTTAGCTCATAAAAATTTTTTGCCACAGAAACATTAACCGCTCAACATTTAGAAATGTTTATGACATTCCAGAAAATTCACATTTTGCCAAGCACATGACATATTCCCTTTTCAAGTGCATAAACAATGGAGAATTTGAAATTTATAAAAAAAAATTCTCTGCCATCCCACTTCGAGCTCAAAAGGACGAGTTCTCAAGGGGGTCTGCACCACTTGAGAGAAAACGAGAACTAGAAGATGAAAGAGGGAGGAAGGGGGGAACAGAATTTGACGCATTTCGCGTGATGTCGCGCAATAGTGCGCGACACCCCAAATAGAGTTCTAATGTGCACAATGGTTCCAAATTGTCTTTACATAATCAATTTAGACTCAGGAGTACGTTGGCTTACGTTTTTACGTTGGTCCCGCACCCTCTAGGTAAACCACGCCCACTCTGTTGCTCAAACTTTTTTCGTTGTCGAATCGCATAGAAAAGCTCGTAGATGACTGAGGAATTTTACAATAACCCTAATTCCAACCCCGCCCCCGTTATGCAGGCTCCACCCCTCAGTGGCAAGCCCCACCCACATTAAATGATGATCAACGAGCAAATCCACTGTCGCTCCGCCCACTTTTCCTATGCTTTTTGAAAAAATGCAATATGCTACACTGTTTGAATAATGATCAACGAACAAATCCAATTTCTTCCTCATCTCCCGCTCCCTCTCCGCCCCTTTGCATGCTTTTTCTTAAAATATAAGTTCCATGAATTTGCATTTTCGGCTCCCTCCCTGCCCACTTTTCCTAACTTCTTCGTAAAATCCAACACAATGTCCTGAATAAAGATCAAGGAACAAATTCATCTCTTCTTCTTTTTCTTCATCGCCCGCTCCCTCTCCTCCCCTTTCCATGTTTTTTCTTCGCATATAACTTCCATTAATTTACGTTTTCGGCTCTCTCCCCGCCCACTCTCCTTATCCTTTTTTTTCAAAAAATATACGTAACTTTGTACGACTTGAGGGCTACTCTTTTGCCAAGATTGTGTAGGTTCCCTTTCTTCCTACGCTTCTCCAGTGCATTATCTCCTCTTTCTTACTCATGCTACTCCCCCCCCCCCCCTATCCCCCTCCCCCTCGTGCTTATCCCCAACTATCCCCCGTTCAATTATGCGCATGTTGTTGTCGCTTTCGTTCGCTTAGAGGATTGACGTCACTGGCACGCATCCCATAGTGTCTGCCGAGGGTAGGCGGAAGTGCCCCGCATGTGAGGAGAACTTTGTTCGAATTCATGGAGGGTCCTGAGGGGAATTTCCTCAAAGGCTGCTCCCCTTATCAGCTCCTCCCCCTTTGAGAATTATGAGTCATGCAATGTCCGAGTGATTTTAACCCTCTTAGTTAATAAAAAAATTCGAATACCCTCTCTTGGCAGTATTAAGGCCCCTTACCGGGAAGATTTTAAGTCTTCATCTTCCCCTTCTCGGACAATGGCCTCCAAAGCTACTCTTCCGCCCCCTCCTCTACAAACCAAGAATAAAACAGCCATGTGACTTTTTGATCCTCTTACGAAAAAACACTTTTTAAGCAGGGATAAAGCGTCTGGCTCCTTATCAGGAGAGTTTCTTATTGTTAGATTCTTTGTATTTTCCTTTCCAATTGATTCCCTTCAAGACCCCTCTCCCTTTCTCTCCCCGCGTCTCCTATGAGCCATGAATGAAACCGCTTTGTAATGACTAATTTCATCCTTCCTATGCAAAAAAATTGAACACTTTTTTTAGCGATGTTAAGGTGCCTGGCTCGTTATCAGGAAGTTTTCGCATTCTTTGCCTTCCCCGTCCCCTCTCTAAGAATCGATTGCACCTACGCATGTACAAATCGTTCTAGAACTTACATTTTGGACCCCTAAATTTTTGAAGAGTTGTTTCCCAAAGTTTTCGTTGAATCCAGATGCTATCAGATTTTAGAAGTGGAGTTTGTTTTTTGTTCTAACAAATGGGTATCTTTCATCTGTGAAAAGATTAGCCCAATGGACCTTTCCATGTGAAATTTTCTAAATCACAACCGTGCATAAAAAATTCACCGCATTCAAAATGTTTTGACTATCAACTCATTCACCTATTGGTAAAATCGATTCAAAAAAATCTTAACTTCTATTTTGAATTTCATAAATGAGAATATTTTCAACCCATATGAACCAACTTTTTTTAACCAATCTTAGAACCTCTACTTTTATTATCATTTCGTAACCTGCGCTCAAATTTTACTCCTTTTTCTCAAAAGTTTGCTTTTCACTTCAAATGTTGCTTTGTTTACGATCGACTGGAGCTTACACTAATGCTATTTGTTACACATCATGCTGCCAAGGAGAAGTAAAGTAAATAAAAAGAATTGAAGCCCTTCCCCCCCCCCCCCCCCACCCCTCCCCCGCTCTCTTCCCGTCCTTCCCACGCAAAGTAATTGGATTATGAATGTCTGAGCTGGGATCATAAACTCGAATAATAGATGCCATTCCCACCAAGAACTTATCGGACATTCGCATTGATTCCTTTTTTCTTATTAGGTTTTTTTAAAGGCAATTTTCCTATAGACGATACCGCTACCAATGCATAAAAATTTTTTTCTTTTTTCAGTCTTATTTCTTGATTATATTTCCGTGCCCAAGTTGGTCCGCATAAACCTTTTCCAGCGATTTCCTTCTATTATGCAACAGTTGCCCAGATCTCTGTCAGATTGTTTGTGCGCCCCATTGAAAACGGAAGGGATGTTTTTGCCAGTCATGCAAACACTCGTCTATTCAATAACAACAGCATTTGTGGCTCGGTCAACAGTGGCATAGCCTTTTTTTAGCAATTTATTTTCTGAAATGACTCATTTTTCCGTCAAATTTTGTATGTTCATCTTTCATCTCGAATGCCATGAAAATGTGAAGCTTTACAAAGATTAATTTCTGTAAGTGAAATTTTATGAAAGTACGTAGAGTTAAGGGGGGGGGGAGTAGTGAAATCTAACGAAACCACGTAAAAGTCGGAGATCGTAAGGGGTTTTATGAATGCGAACAAGGTGTGAGGCAATATCTAATGAACAATTAACAATTAACAATATCTAATGAAATCACGTCTGAAAAAAAATTTTGGTTTTTTTCATGGGGAGTTACGGGGGAGGGGCGGTTAGTAAAAACGTTTGGAAAAAGCATAGGATTTCTGACTTCGGGAAAAATCGCAAAAAACAGTAAATATTTTTTTTGTTATCTCAGAGTCAAATTTTCTAGTACACATTTTTCAACCCCAGTAAAATGACTTACAAATATTTTTTATGGATTCTTATACAAATAGGCTTAATAATGAGAACGATGCCAATTCACTTTTACTATTTTTGAAAGACTCAAATAGTAGGCTAGATCACAAAGAAACTCCCAGCTAATAAAAAAATTGGAATTTTACAAATTTTTTTTCTGTACGCTAAAAAATGAAATTTTTTCAAGCTTAGCTTTTGCAACAATTGCGAAACTTTCCGCCTAATAGGATTTTTTCATCCTCCTACTTTCCCGAATTGCCCATGGGAAATCTAGAAAATGCCCGTCAGTGACACAATGACGCAAATCTTGAGTTCTATATCTGGCGCTGTCTTCTTATCCCTTTCGAAATCTCTCACGTTTTCAATTCTAGATTCTCCTCCCCCTCCCCCACTTTCCCATAGAAATATATTTTCCCCACGCACCTAAACCCCCCCCCCTTCCCCGCTTCTCCTTTCCTCCAATCAAACGGATGGTCCGATAATTACAACCCCCCGCCGGCACCGCAAGATCCTGAGGGCATTAATGAAAAG